GTCTTCGTCCTCCTGAACTCCAAGTACTAGATCCATAGGGTCCACAAGATCATTTTCCTTTACCTCCCTTGTCCCTTGCAATGCTCGAAGGAGGTGACGCAACTCCGACGTGGTGGCGTCAACTTCGTCGAACTTCGGCAGACCTTGGATAAGGTTGCTCTCTTGTACCATGGTACTTCCTTTCCCGGAATGATAGTCCGCCCGCCTAGATAATCCATCTGGAAGACTTGCCTGGGTTCCTGGCCGATAAACCATTTTAAACCTGAAGTTAGCTAGCTCCTCCACCCACCTACCTTGCCGAGGACTGAGTTGTTTCGGTTCCATCCAGTAGGTAAGGTTTAGATGGTCGGTAAGTACTGTGGTTTCCACCTGCAATAATAAGTGTCTCCTTCTTCTGAAACCCTCCACTACAGCGAGGAACTCCTTTTCTCCTACCGTATAATTCAGTTGAGCTGTGTTGAAAGCACCAGACTCAATAGCTACCGGGTGTTCTTGACCAGCCGTGTTGATCTGCGAAATTATGAACCCCCAGCCGAAGAACGACGCATCTGTCTGTAATATCGTCTTCAATGTAGGGTCAAAATGGGCTAACACCGGCGCAGTACACATCCTAGCCTTCAACTCTTTGAAGGCTGACTCCTGTTCGACTCCCCATACAAATGGTACCTCCTTCCTTGTCAAGTCATTGATAGGTCTAGCAATCTTCGAGAAGTTGGGGACAAAGCGCCTGTAGTAGCTTACAACTCCAATGAATCCCCTTGACTCTCGTAGATTCTTAGGACGTGGGAAGGAAGTGATGGCATCAATGTATTCTGGGTTCACCGATACACCTTTAGAGGATACCACGAAACCCAGAAACACCACCGAATCTCTTTCGAACTCGCACTTACTAGCTTTCACGTACAGGCTCGCCTTCCGCAGTACCTCAAAGACCTTCGCCGTAGTTCCTCGTAATTCCTCCAACGTATTCCCATAAATGAGGATATCGTCAATGTAGACCACGACTCCATTCCCTAGTAGCTCTCTAAACACCTCATTTAGGAAGTGTTGGAAGACCGCGGGGGCGTTTCGCAGCCCATCACGAACAACCAGAGATTCAAACATACCATACTGTGTCCTGAACGCCGTCAGGTGTTCATGTCCCTCTGTCACCCTCAACAATTGGTATGCTCCAATTAGATCTAGTTTGCTGAAATACCTTGCTTTTCCAAGTTCTTCGGTAATTTGACCTATTAGAGGGAGAGGGTAGGCATCTGGTATGGTCGCTTCGTTCAGTTTTCGATAGTCGATGACCATTCGCCACTGTCCTTCGGCTTTCTTCGGTATCATAAACATTGGTGAGCCGTATGGCGAGTTACTTGCCCGAATTCGGCCAGCGGCGATTTCGCGATCTAGTATGTCTCTCAGCGCGCGTCTCTGATCTTCTCCTTGAGCATAGAGGGAGGCGACCTTAAGGTTCGCCCCCTCCTTAAGCTCAAACTTCAAATCGTAGGACCTTGAAGGGGGAAGGGTCTCTCCTCCCTTCTTCGGATTAAAAACGTCAATGTACTGGTGGTATTGTTCAGGAACTACCTGGAACAACTCGTCTTGTTCCTCCGGGCTCAGCTCTTCAAGCTCATCTTCGCCGCGGCGGTCTATCGCGTCCGTCAGAGTCGGCAGCCCTATGGCCGCTAACTTCGCCGCACTTGGTGGGGTTGGGATGGGAAATTTCACCGAGTTGTCTCTTCCATCAAGGACAACCCCTTCCTTCCTCATCCAATCCCACCCTATCACAACATCTGCGTCGCAGAGCGTTGTTACATCGAGACAAACAGATCGCACTTCGGCGTCCTTCGTCAAACTAAATCCGACTTCGACAAACTCGGTGATGGGTCCAGCGACACTCACCGAGCCGTCGAACATGTGAACGGGTACGCTCACCTGATATTGTCTCCTTTCTGCGCCTATCTTCGTCGCCGCCCTAGGACTTATATATGAACAAGTAGCCCCGGTGTCCCAGAGCGTAGTTAGCTTCATTCCATTAATGAAAATGTCCGATTTAGGTTGATCTCTGGAAACGGAAGGGATGAGGAGATGATTATCGACATTGCATGAACAAGGGGTACTGAGTGGTGTATTTTTGTATTCACAATCCTCTGGCTCCATCAGCTGTGTTTCTTTTATGGGTTTGGGAATGGTGGCCGAGAGAATATGGCGGACCCGCCGAGCCTCGCCTACTGCGACAGGTCCTCTTCTTTTCCCTGGTCCTCTTCCAAATCTACTTCTCCTCCAACCGCATTCAAGTTCCTCCTCTGTCCGAGAGGTACTGCGTTCCCTCCCGATCCTCCACCACGTTCTCCGAACTTCTCCCCCCATGGAGGCAACAGTCCAACCTTAACCTTAGCCTCCCTTACAGGGCATTCCTTCAGCCAATGTCCTGCTTCACCACACTCGGTACACTTCCCCTCCTTCCTCCTTGTCTCCCTCAGATCGGAGCTCGGCCTAGGCCATCTTCGGCGAACTTCGTCGACGTTTGGCGGTGTACTTTTTACCACCGTCGACCTCATAGCCGCCTGGGCACCACCCTGCGCCGAAGGTTGCCCCTTTTCCCATTTCTTCTCTTCTTTCTGCTCCGTCCTCTGACTTTCCACCACTGTCGTTGTCCTTATCCCTCCTTCCCTTTTCCTCTCTGCCTCCTTCTCCACTTGTCTCCTCCACAGGCGGTTGTCCAAGGGAATCACAAACTCCAATAGCTCTTTTACAGTCCCAAACGATCTACCGTGTCTTGCGATTTCATCTAGAAGGTGCGATTTTAGTCCTTTCTTGGCTCGGTCAACTAGGTTTCCATCATCAGACCACTTGAGAATCGCAACATGTCGCTGAAAGGCGGAGAAGTAGTCCGAAGCAGACCCGGTTTGCTTGAGGTCGTTAAGTTGTCGGGCCGCAGTTCCTTCTTCGTCTGGATCACCAAAGTTAGTCTTGAGGTACTTAACGAACTGATCGTGTGTCGTGAGGTACTCAGGAAGAGGTCTTTTGGATAGATCGGGCTGCACTGCAAGAAGAGGTGTTTCGCGTAGATGAGAGATCATGAAAAAGACTTTCTTAGTGTCGTCGGGGAAAAGATGAGAGTTCAATTCGAAGTGTACGTCGCACTCAGACAGAAAGGCGGTTAACTTGTTCCGATCTCCTCTCCATAGGTCTGGGTTAGGTAGCTTTATCCCTTTCCGTTGTTCGCCCACTACGCTTGGGGTCGCCGAAGTTTGCCGTCCCATGGCGTACCTCACCCCTTCTGATATCCCTTCTGCAATCCCGCCCACTGTATCCCTTTCTCTTCTCTGTTCCCATTCCTCCCTACGTCTTCTCTCCTCCATCATGTCTTTGTTCATATTCGCCACCATCTGCATCAAGGCCAACACCACCCCTTGTGTTCCTTCTTCTCCCAAGTTCGCCGTACTTCCAGTGTTTTCTCTTGGGCGTGGGGTTTGGTCTGATCCAAGTGGGGATCCCACAGGTGGGAGAGCATTAGACGGAGGAGAAGGAGGGTTAGAAAGCACCGGTGGAACGAACTCATCTCCTTGAATTGACCCCCCCACACTATCCTCAACTCCAAGGTCCTGCCCCATTGCTCTGCTAAGCTCCTCCAATGCTCTCCTCTCGTTCTCCTCCATCCTGTCTCCATCCCTACTCATGCCTCGTGTAATTCTTCTTTCTGGTTCCATATTATCTTCGTACTTCTCCGAGGTTCGCACGGGTCGTCGGTAAGAGCGATCCTTGATACTGTCACGGCCGTCGAACAACTACTTCTTAATAGACCGACGGTCGACGAACCTCGGCTAACTTCACGCTCTGAGTCGATGTCTCACCCAACCAGGAGGGCGCAGACGTCGAAAGGGGTGTAACTACGGCGTACTTCGGCGTAGTTACTCTAACTAGGGTTTTGATCTACTGATGGCGATGTATCTTGATTTATAGCTATCTCTATCTGTCTTTTACTACTGACAACAATCAAGGATCGCTGAAGAACTTCAGCGATCTTCTCAGCTAATATTATCTACTCCTCCTAGACCTTCATCCAACCCTCTCGCGCTTTGACGTACTTCAACGCACTTCGTCCAACTTCCCCGAGCCCTCGGCCATCCTCTTCCTCCTTCGACTAACTCCGCCTAACATCGCCGCACTTCTGCTCCCATTGTCCCTACTTAGCCTAACCCCGCCTAACATCGCCGCACTTCTGCTCCCATTGTCCCTACTTAGCCTAACTCCGTCTAACTTCGCCGTACTTGGTGTCAGAAGTCCTGAGTTACGTGTAGAGTAAAGAGGTTAAGGCGTGATGGGGTTTTGATGGCCAAAGGAGGGTCATTGTTGGTGGAGTAATCGAGGTGTCACGACGTAGTTCGTGACACTTCGGCCCTTAAGTACTTCGTCCTTCCCTAACTTCGTCAACGCAGAACTTCGTTCAACCCGACGTCCCGAGCTTCGTACCTCGCGAACTTCGTCCCCGACGAAGTTCGTGCCTTCCTAACTTCGTATCCTCCTAACTTCGTATCTCCCTAACTTCGTATCTTCCTAACTTCGTATCCCCCTAACTTCCTACATGACTAACTTCGTCCTCGACGAAGTTAGCCTCCTAACACCCTCGTGGGTGGTGAAGTTCATGCGAACTGGGTCGTTGATGGCGAACTGATGTCCAAAGGAGCTTCGTTTGATGGGAAAGGATAATGTCACGCGGCGCCGTGTGACACACTAGTCAGTAGCAAGGCCTTGTCTCTCGAGAACCTAGAGCCGTCTTGACACATACTACATATGAGTGGTCCTCTCATCACAATTTCCATGCTGTTCAAACACAATGCCTGCATTCCTGTAATCCTACTTCTACCTACTACCTTGCAAGGGACTAAGAACGACGGACAAGTATCATGCAAGATAAATAGATAGATTGGTGGGAACCAGTGAAAAGGTGAATCGATATTCTAAGGCAGTCAATAGCCAGAAAGACAAGGGGCTTAGCAAAGGGGCTTTTTCTAGAGTGTACTAGGAAGACTTTCCGGAAGGAGAAAGCTCCTGTGACAAGTTCTGTCTGTGTGCTGTAAATAATTGTAAAGGTGGGGAGGAGCTTGGATGACTGCAAACTTAGGGTCTGGCATAAGAGTGTTGACAACATTCTGGACAGTTTCTTGCCAAGTTCTCCCAATTTCCTCTGCATATTTGGACCCTGATTTTGCTGACTGCTGAGAGGATGTCCTCTGTGGCAAGGTTGTAGGGACACCATGAGAGGGTTGTTCTTGCAATGAGTGCAGGTCAAATTTCTGACTTGCTGCTTTGAGGTCCCAAAGTTCGTCCCAATGATCTCCTTCCTCTCCCACTGTGGCCAGAGCTTGGGGGCCACTCTCATCCTGATTGGTTGACCACGGGAACCTTGACAGGTAAAGCATCTCTTGGTGATGCACTCTACATGCTGGTTCTGGAGAACCCAAAGTTTGCTCCTTCCCATTGGTAGGATCAAACCCAGAGGGGATCTCTTCTGACAATACTTCTGTCCATTTTTCAAACCAGCATTTCACCAATTCTTTGGGATAGGTCTTTTGGCGGATCACAGCTACATGCAGTTTCTGCCCTTCAGTCCACACCAGGATGGTCTGCTCCGGATCCTTGCCCTCAGGTATACAACTTTCCAAGCGGAGATAGCTTCTATCAAGCAAACTCTGCACCCGCCAGTTGAAACTTTGCCACCATTCAGCTACATTGCTCATTCTGCTGACACTTCCCAAGACAGTCAAACAAGTGCAGGTACCAGTCGACTTGGAGGGCACAAAAGACATACTGGCTCAAGTAATATTGAAAAAACAACGTGATTGTATCAGTGAGGAAGGTGGTGATTGGTCGGTTTCAATGCGGGGAGTAAGAGTTTGATACTATATAACCGTAGCTATTTGAAGTGAGTGAGAAATGTGGAAGAAGAGTGGGAAGGGCTTCAAATCTCACCCTTATTACCCTTTTCTCTCCTTCCCCAATGGTTTTTTTCACCGAGGATACTCGCCTTTGTCGGTTTCAACACCCGCTAGAACCTCGACTACCTCAAAGGGTAGTCAGGAAGATGTTTTCACCCTTATTACTCCTTTTGGAGATACAAGCAGGGTTTGGAGGAGAAGGGCGGGTGTGGCGCACGAACACAGTTGAGTGCGAGTCGAGTACTCTTCTTTGTCAACTGCTTGTCCATAGAATTAGGAAATCTTCCGAGAAATCTTTCGTCTCTCGAGTGCATTATTTGTACACCGGCTGTTTTCTCCATGTCGAATGTCCCCACAGGCTTCTTTATTGATTCAGTAGGTTGAACCTGTGGAATGCAGCATCATTCCAGATGGATACGTGTGTCTCTCCCTTTAAAAGTGTCATATGTATTGGACCTGGTCCAATTCAGACATTCTCTCAGGTCAGGCACAATACTTGATCCACACAAGCAAGCATACTTCCTTCAGTGATTGAAACCACCAACACGGGCGCTGAAGCTAAGACACATCACCGCGGTACAGGAGAGAGTCATTGTTGAAAAGGTCATGTGTTGGCGTGGTCCGTTGCTTTGTGTTGCACAGCTCAGCAGAGCTTCTGATTGAATCTGTTTTGTCATGCAGGTGGTGAACAAGCACACAGTCACCACTTCTAATCTTTTTCTCCGCACAAACAGTGGGTCAATAACGTCAAGTATAACACCACTTCACAGCTGTGGTCTGATTATACAGCACGGATATGATATGTATGACACAATGATGGTCACTCCCAAACCCGTGTCCAACAATCTCACACATACGGAGGAAGAAGTCAATTGTAAAGCGGCTCTTTCCAAGTTCTTATGGGGCACATTCCTGCCAAAGATCAAATTGTGGTTTTAGCAGACTTGGACCCCCCAGAAGGCATGCTTGCAGGCATAGGCTAAGTGTCATGACAGTGTACCAATCCGCGGATGGTGAGTGACATCATTGGCGTAATATTCCTGCCGTGAGTGAGTGAGTGCGTGCTAATCACCTTACAGGTACGTATATATGTAGAAACGAGGCCTGTGAGGGACTTGACCAGGGCAAGATTGACATGGAGAGAAGAAGCAAATGCTTTGCTACTGACCACCAGGAATCTCATCTTTTCACATGTCAGGTACTCTCAATCAAATAATAATGATGTACAGACAGAATCAGCTGAACTTTAGTGCTCCATGTCCCATGTACCTGGTTACTCGTGCCTACTTTTGGCAAGCGTTTCTTGAGGGATGTTGGAAGAATGTACAAAGGTCACTGAATGATACATGATCTCCTTTCCATACAAATGAGAGGGTCGCCCTTCAGAGACATGCACAATGAGGCCAGGGGACTTTGAAGCTAAGGTCACCACCGTCTTCCTGACACTTGTGAGCCATTCAAGTTCCAGCTGTCTCCATTCCTCTTGTCTAACAAGTCTTTTCACATCAGCTTCAGTCCACTGATCTTCTATTGGTAAGAGCGCTCTTGTTGCCTCACCTTGACCTGGCAGGCTAAGTACCAGATCTGCATCTTTCCAATAGCCTTCCACTTGTTTGCTTGATACTCCTGTCTCTCCACCACCTAGAGAACTCCCAACAGAGAAGCTTGGTTCTCTGGATGCTATGTAGATTGTGGGAGACTGTCCTGAGTTAGCAGGGGAAGGACACGAGGCGAGAAGCAGGTTTATGAGTGATTCGTTCATTTTGAGGTCAGTCTTGCCAATGACTGCTAGATAAGCGGTATTGGTCTTCATCCATGCATAGACTGTTGCTCCTTGAGCTTCACCTAGCGCACTAAACTTTGCTCTTATCAGGCTATCACTACTTTTGTTGGCCATTTCCCTGGGGCCGTCGGTATGGCTGCCAGCGGTGAGGCCGCGGTACCAGCTGTCTGCCCCCCTTAGTGTCCTTTCAACTCTTGAGCGCGCCTGATGTCTTGGGATCTCCTTACAGATCCTGAGAATCCAGTCAGCAAAACTTTCCGATTCCTCCCATTCTTCTCCCTTGTGTTTGTGTTGACTGATATCTGGGTGCTTGTCCTTCCGGGCATCCGCCGGTGTTTCTCCAGGAGGACGAAGGTACCAAGTTGAAGGGGCCGGAGAGAACTCTGATGTACCTTGGGTCATACCATCTTCTTGTTTGGATGCCATGAGGATGTGTGGACCACGAACATATCTGGCGTCAATATCAGGTAGTGAAGTTGAGGGAAGAGAATTGGGAGGTGCAGATTTCACCTTTATCAGCCCTCACGCGCCTTCTTGACAAATTCCACTAGAGCGGATTTTGAGGTCCGCCAGGTGAGAACCACCCGAAGGGGTAATCAGTTTGATACGGCCCCTACCGGAGAGGGAAATCTCGGGGGGTTGAGGAAGAAAAGGCGGAGCAGCGCGCACGGACCACAGCTTTCTCACCTCCTCGGTCGGGACACAGAAATCATGCTCCGGTCTGTTTGACCCCCTGGTCAAAGGTTTAGAGACGTACAGTACTATCTAGCTCCATAAAATATCCATTCATGGTATCCTGGCGCTATTGCTCCTCTTCTCGCACACGATATGTGGTATTCCCCGAAAATCTTTTGCTAATCCCTATTTACATATCCAGTTTTCACCTCTCGGGCCATGACATGAACTGCTTTAGTGTTGACGGTGAAGACGGGTCAAGCAATGAATGATCATACTTTACTCTGCCAGCTTTTGCCCTGATTATGTTGCTCATAACAGTTTTCCAGCAATCTTGAAGGTATGACTTGAACGGGATTGCTAGTATTCGTACATATAGTAGTATGACAAATCGTGGGAGGTTCTCGACTTGCGCGGACACCGTGTTAGAGGGGACCACTTGTACAACGAAGAAATGTACTGTATATGTAATTACTTTTCAGACTGTGGAGACTCTCTATGAGGTCTGATAGGTAACTTGTCTGCCTTTCACAATTGGCCTAACAAACTCCCCCGCCACGATCAGTTCTCTTAGCAACCTCAATTATTCTGATATTTGTCAGGACCAGACGTTGAAAATAGTCTGCGTCTATGAGCTATGGCTATAGGACCTCGCAGGGAATAAACCTAGTGATGTAGTTTATAGTCTAGTGATGTAGTGGATCGAAGAGACTATAGTCGATGAGATCAAGTGACAAAGGATTTGCTAAATGACGAGAAAATACATTCGACAAGACATCTACGAAAAAGGGGTGTTTCTATATACTAAAAAGGGAGCGGAGTGATACCGAAATCTATGGAGTAAATGTGGGGAGCGACATGGGGTGTAAGAGTGAAGGAAGACGGAGATAGATGAGGGACACGGAGATGAAGGAAAAGTATAACATGTGAAGAAGTAATCGATTAGGTAGGACAGGAGAACGGAGGACGCCGTAGCGGGATTAGTGAGACGGGGACGGGAACGGGTAGGTGGAGTACGGGAACGGGTAGGTGAAGTACAACTTCTGCGTACGACTCTTGAGGAACCCGTCTATAGGTACCCGTGATCCTGATAATATTGAGCCGTTAGGCCTTTTCATTCTAACCAATCATGACACTCCCCTCACCCCCTCCAGCAATGAATTCCACACTGACAACTCACACTTGTGGGAAGATCAGAGGTTATATGGAATCTATGTAAGTCTGGCAGGGGTCAACTGTGTAATCAGATCAAATATGTCCCGTACGTAGCTGGTACTGTATGCATTTTGTACAAGATCTTGTTGTACTCTTCTCCTTTCATATAGTCTGTTACGAGTTATTCTGACGTCAAGGAAGGTTCTGATTCAGGAGTGACCCAGTTTGGCGGTTATTTATGTTATATGTCCATGGTTTTGGCAACAAAGTGAATTGAGTATTTGACCAGTATTTGGTGATTGAAGATGTCACCAGTCCATAGGACTTTTGTATTCAGGGATCACGGTTCCGGAGAGGTGTTGTTACAGGACCAAGATGCTGGTTAGTCATACAGTAGTCTGTACCATTGTTCAGCTGGGTCTTTATGTGTTCACATCTGTGTGCCTCCTTGATTTTGTCTATCATTACACTTGGTGCCAGATGGAAAGAAACAAGCTACCACTCCAGCAATCATCAACAGAAAGACCCTTTGGGACAAACCTGATGGTCAAACCTGCAAAGAGGAGAACTTGTCCCTACATGCACTAACTAGTTCCCTTTTGTAGGGTCAAGAAGGTATTGACTCACCTTGTTCCTCTTGTAGGGCACGGCTGTTACCCTGTAACATACTCCGTAGTCGACCCAATTGAATCCTTAGACTTGGAATGTGTACACGGTACAGAACTCTTTGTTGTTCACCTGAATCAACATTATCCCCTAAATCTACTCCTTCCTCACCTTGATGTTCAATTTGTGAACTAATCAACCCATCATGATCTTGCTCACCAGAACCATTCAACTCATCATGTTCTCTCAGTAAAGATTGTTCAGACTGTGAAGGATTAGAGTACAATGTTTCTGAACGGCTTAAAGGTCTGATGACAGTATCCAGTGGACCCCATAGAATTAGGGCATGATTAACTTTGGTGGATTCCCCTCTATGTTGTTCAGGTATGAAACAAGTCTCCAGTTCTCCATTGATAGAACGTAATGTTTCTTTGACAATAACATTCCAGAGCCTATTGAGTTCAGACCAGTCACCTTCACGATGAAGACGATCTAACATCTCACCGTGGATAGAAATATCATCATCTTCCTGGAGTTGAACGTCCTGAGCTTCTTCACCAATCATGGCATCCCTTTCGGGGATTTGTTCATCTCCTTCTGATGAATTTATCAATGTGTCTTCATCTCCTGTTGAACTTAGTAATTGCTGACTTCCTGGCTCATTATATGCGGAACTGGTATCACTTGGCACAATCAGGAGATGACCAAACTGGGTATTATTGGCGGGAAAGTCCGGGTCAATCCCCTCTTGCTCTTCTAGCTCTTCTTCAACAAGAGTACGAGTAGTCTCAGTTGTATTTGATCGACCTGAGCTTGATGTGCCCGCTATCATAGACGGCAAAACCGACTGAGAGGATGTGGGATCAACCTCTGGAACAGGTTGGATGATTCCTCGACGAAAGGGATAGACTATATCTGCTAGATTTCCCAGCTCCTCCAATGACATACCTGACCCCCGTGGTTGAAAGGTGCATAGATGTAGACCAATCTCATCTGCCCATACACCAATCATATTGCTAGCATCCTCGTCAATAGGAACCAGGTCCAACAGAGAGGGACCATCTGACCTTGAATGAGAACGTCTTCTGAGTCCTCCTCGCAGGGGCAATGACAAGAGACCCCGTCGAAAACCTCCCGAGACACCTCCCAAGGCATGACCTATCCACGTTGCAGTTGAGGTTGAGGCGGTTGGAAGACGGCGGCCTGACGCTGCACCACTCGGTGTGGAGCGTCCATCCCCATCTGGGGGGGGGGGGGGGGGGGGGGGAGGCATTCGAGGGGGGAAGATCAGTATTATTATTCAACCTCGGCGTGCTCATTGGGTCGACGTGAGGTGAGATTGATAGAGCGTCAGATGGGATTAGATGACGTGGATGAGTAAGTAGTAAAGTGTCAAACAAAATATAAGAAGAAGAGGTCGAAGGGGTTGGATCAGTAAATGAGAACCCCAAATTATAGCAGTGTTAGAGACAATATAGCATTGATCCTTTGTTCCTCTGAGTTTCCCAACCAGCGGAAAGTGAAAGCAACGCCGGATAGCCATCGGTCGAATCCGGATATCGGACGGCCGCGGACGGATGCCTAACATGCTCGACGGTCAAACGGAGTCAATTTGAACTTGTCAGGAGAAATGAATAGGTTGGGATCAAAAGTGAGTATTCACAGCTACACAGATAGAAAATGCAGATTTTGACATACTTCGGGGGAAATTAACTTTGGATGACTCGCAAGGGGTATGAGACAGTCGCCGATCAGAGAAGATATATCGACGCGCACTTAGTAGCCTGTTCGTCAGCGCAGTCTTGGTGGCAAGGTTCGGCAACATGTTGGGCGCGAAATTCGTCGGCGAGGAATGGAAGGGGAACGAATCAGTGTAGGATGGTGAATGGAGGAATCACAATCAAATGAGGAATTTCCAACTCTGGACACGTTGATAGCAATAAAGTGGGAGGCAAATGTTTTTGGCATAAAGTGTAGGGAAGAAATGATGAGAAGAAGAAGAAGAAGAAGAAGAAGAAGAAGAAGAAGAAGAAGAAGAAGAAGAAGAAGAATAATAAGAAGAATGAGAAGAAGGAGAAGAATAAGAAGAAGAAGAAGAAGAAGAAGAAGAAGAAAAAGAAGAAGAAGAAGAAGAAGAGTTGATTTGAAGAAGGAAAAGTCAATCACTCACTCCTACCAAACATAGTCCAGCTCTTTGCTTTCTCCCCACATTGTATACATTTCTGTTCATGACCATGAGGAAATTCTCCAAATCGTTTTTGATCGAAAGGAATACATAAAGATTTAGCACCTGCCGAAGGAGCTTTCGCATCTTCTGCGACACCCTTGTTGGCCCTGTCCCGTGAGTATGTACTTGACAAGCTCTAATCCATGTCCGTTCCACGATCAAACTCATCGGAGTATTTCCAGAGCTCCGCGGTCAAAACTGAAGAGCACTCGGAAGAGAAAGGAGAAGGATGAAGTTCATCCGGTCAGATGCAGGTGAAAGATGATTGGTGATGAGAGATGCAAAAGATGTATAGCGGAAGACGATGAGATGGAATCACGGACATGCAGGGATGAATGTAATGGAAGTGGGTGATGGGTATATAATTGAAATAAAACTCACTGTGATTTTGACCTTTCTTTAATCTCATCCTCACATTTCTCCACTTCACACCAAGGTACTACCAAAGCGCATTTCTGATCTAAGAGAGGAACGAATTCCTCCCATTTCGTACAAGTTCTAACATGTGCGTCAAACTTAACTTGAGCCCTTTCCAACATAGCCAACTGAATCTTATCCAGATAATCTTTTATCGTAATTTCAATATCATTCAATGGTAATGATTCTTTATGTCCATCATATCTTCTAACAGCTAAAACTGTATTAGAAGCGATATCCCTTGGACCTAATTCCAATCTAACGGGTACTCCACGCATTTCCCAATCATTGAATTTCCATCCTGGTGTATAACCTTCTCTCACATCTGCTTTTGCACGAATCCCACTTTTTTTCAAAGTAGTTTCTAATTGACGACATTTTTCGAAAATCCCTTCGTTTTTACCTTCCGCTTTACTCAAACCGACAGGTACTATCACTACTTGTTGAAGTGCTACTCTAGGAGGTAAGACTAAACCTTGATCATCACCATGAATCATGACCATCACCCCGAGTGTCCGGGTGGATAAACCCCAAGAGTTTTGATATACGTGAACAGGTTCAGTGATTGTCTTATCAGGGGATTCGACTGTTATTCCGAACATTTTGGAAAAGTTTTGACCAAGATGATGTGAAGTACCTCCTTGTATACCACGACCGGTGGTGGGGATGAATCCTTCGACAGTGGTTGTATAGTCTCCACCGGCAAATTTCTCTTTGTCAGATTTCTTCCCGGGGATCACGGGGATGGAAAGGAGGTCGGTATAGACGCGACGATAAAGATCGAGGATATCACGAACTTCTTCTTCGGCTTCGGGTTTGGTGAGGAAAGCGGTGTGACCTTCTTGCCAGAGGAATTCACGAGTTCGCAGGAAAGGCTCTGTACGGTCAGCAAATGTATATCGACTTGCCGCTGAATCATTGACAAGATATACTTGCAGTTTCAACAACCGACTGAGCGGTATTTGGAAGTATCAGAGCCAGTGTTCAAGAGTGGTGCAACGAAACAGGTTTGGGATTGTTCACCTGAGGTCGAGATGTGCGTAGATGGGGAAGAACTCACGGGGATTCTTAAACTCCCAACGGACGACTGAGTTCCACTGATTAAGTTTGAGAGGCAAGTCACGATGACTGTGTATCCACTTGGCGTAGTCTAATGCGTCAGTCTGATGCATCACATTGTCAGTCTGTACACCAGGTGGTGGAACTCTGGCTGATATGAGACACGTTCCTGGTAGTGGAGCAAACGGGAATCCTTTGATTGGTAAATACGCAAAAGGATAGTATGATCTAGTCGGACCAAGCCTGAAGTGGGAGGACAGGCGGGTACGATACAGGTGGAGCAGTTACACATCCACTCACATGGATACATGACGGTCTCCGAAGTCGGACGAATGGCGATATGCTCTTCCAAATCGGATTCTCCCCTGCATCATCAGTCCCCGTCCTGCATTACCTTTCAAGCGTTGACTCCGGACCTCCAGACTCACACCCGACTTCTCCATCTAGCCAAGGTCTCATCGTCTGAAGAAAAGAGAAGTCAATGAATGATCCAAACTCACGCTTTCGTGACCCAAGCTACCTCTGGCGCAAAACCTTCAATGTGATCCTTTTCTTTTTCCAAAGTGGTTTTAGAGACGAACATGGGGAAATAACAATCTTCCACACCCAATTTCTTGATCTCGGCGTCGAACCAGTCTGTTGTGTAAGCTCCGCGCAATTACGAAGAACAGCTACTGTTCAGAAGGGTGTATGTTCGAGGACGCGGTAAGCAGGGCCACAGATCAGTACATCATGTGACACCTGTCACAGTCATACAAGGTTGTGAGAATGGTAAGGCAGCAGGATGCGAAAGATAGAAGACAAAAAAGAAAATGATAACGCACTTTGAATCTCCTGCCAGATTGAATATGACCAAGGACGAAGAATGTAACATCCAGAGATATTGTAGTAGTCGAGCATTTCACCTTTAATCAAAACCTATAGATTAGTGCATCACCCTACGAAGCTGTAGTTTTCGGCCATAGTCTGACCCAGAACACCGAGCTAGTAGCGACAAAGCTTTCCTTGGCTTTCACGCAAGCCAATAGTAAGATCCTGACGAAGGAGGTATTTGGAATGAGGATCCACTCACGTCGGTATACCATCCCGAAAAGTTTTCCTCTTTCTTATACTGGATAGCCATTTCATACAGTCCTTCTTCCTTTTTTACAGGGACATTGGGTGGGATGGTCTTTTCTTTCTTCTCTTCTTCTTTTTTGGGTGCGGTACTACCTCGTCAGCTGGGACATGATAACAATGACTCCCAGCCTATCCATCCTCCCAGACTGACGCACAACGCTCGAGGCCTGTTGGCATTTCGATTTGCGTCTCCAAATCCGAAAGAGAAGATACGTTCCACCCTGGATATTGTCCTCATATGTTTTCCGGAAGTAGAAGAAGTCACCGCAAAACGGGTCCCACCAAAGAAGAAAAGAAGAAACACCACTCACACAGCTTCTCCGAAATCAACCACCTGAACCTCCCCTCCCAAACTCTCCAACCAAATCTTGATCTCTGTTCCCTTCAACAAAACGCTACTCCCACTCGTCGTCCCATGTATCGCAAAGATCTCTTCACTTTCCGCCAATGCGGCGTCCAATACCACATGCAACGTTTCTGGGATGGGCGAAGTGAGTAAAAGTGGAGAAACGTCTTCTGGAGTTTGGGCAGCAGGGATGACTTCTTTGATCAGATCAAGGGAAGCCAGACGAAGGTCTTTAAGGTTGAGCTGCGTGGCGAGGAGGGAAGAGGACGTTTGAGTGGATTCCCGAGCTATGAGGAGGACTGGAGTGGGAGTAGCTGATTTGGCCGTTTTGGGCTTGAAGAGGAGCTGGAGTCAGTCATTCGCTACTTGAATAGATCCTCGAAGTAAGGTAGTATAAAACATGGGAAGGAGATTTTGATACCACATCAGATCTCATAATGAGAAGTGATGTTTAGGTGAGGGTGTTGACCTTGATCTCTCAAATCGCAAGAAAGGACGAAATGCAGTGTGATGGAATGGGAGACTCATAAGCGTTGAGAAGGCCATGAGACCCATTCCATGCCCTCTCCTCAACCTTCATCGGACATCACGAAGAGAAACGAGCAACCCAGGTCCAGATACAGAGAAAGAAGCAGAATCTGGATGAGAAGATGAGAAGCTACCAGGGGAAGAGGGAAAGCGACATGGTAAACAACAGCAGAAAGGACTCACAGTCTTTGTCAAACCAACACCTCCCTTACCCACTTTCTCCAACTCGACCTTCCATTCAACGCCTCCCTTCACAGGTTCATGTCGCACCACTTCAGTGGAAGTGAATGATAGCTTGTGCAGTTTAGAGATGATCTCTTCGTCTGTGCTCATGGTCGTGGTGAAACTCCTGAATCCAAGTTGAAAGATGAACCTATGACTTGAGTTTGATGAGCTGCTTTGAAGAATATGAGAGTGTTTATAGTAGAGTGTTCGAGTGAGCAATCGAGGGCAGTGCTTGATGATAGGACGAAGTGAGAGTGATGAGAGATGTCTATATGTGATAATGTTATGAGGGATCGAGGAGCGTATGAGCATAGAAGTGAAGAAGGAGGATTAACTTTTCGGACTCGAGGGAGGGCTCGTGCGCTTTATCACACACTCTCTCAAGATACAATGCCACGTCATTGAGCCTGGTGATAGAGATTCAGTCTGAAGAGACACTCTCGTACTTTGGGTGGAGAAGGGATGAGGGCAGAGCAGGAATGAGTACAGGTGAATTGTCAGCAAGGCAATCATGAGACGGATCACGACCAATGCATCATGACCTAATCAAGTTCAATCACATCATCCTCAGTCTTCTCAGCTCCCATAAAGGCTTTTCCCTTCTTGCCCCGGACTTTGATTGGGTATTCTTTGGGTGGGTTGAGACTTTGTTTGTGTGCTTTGAGGACGGCAGAGGCGCGAGCGACGGCGGCCTGGCGGGTCAGCCATGTTCCCCTACAATCTAATGTCGCATACTGCACACCCTTCATTTGTGTCCAGTACCATGATCCATGGAAAGAGTCATAGGAGAATCAACGTGAAACAGACTGAACAGAGGATAGAATGTCTCCACCAAGCACATAGCACCGAGTCAACAATTGACAAGAAGCGGATAAAGGTGGAGATGTCTCAATATGGCAGACCTAATACGCTCGCCCTTCATGGTGACTCCAGGGAGTTCTAACGTGGCTGCGGGCAGGGGAGTGAGTTGATGAGAGTCGGCGAGACGATGATGACTCCATTAGTCACTGTTGGCGTAGAGGCGATAGCGAGTGAATGGTAGGTCAGATGAAACGAAAACATGCTGAGGTCACGACACAGAGGACATTGGAGGACGATGATCCGAACGTGATGTTTTGGAGTTGTGCGGAGAGGGACTCACATGACGGAGATCAGCCCGGTAACCTTTGTGAGCGGTCTCCACAGCGACGATTTTGTTCACTCGTCTAGGTCCGGTATTACGTCGGAGAGTGACGTGAGTACGAGCGGAAGCGACCTAATAGTAAGCAAACATAGTTTAGTGACCCTCCTTCCACACCCGTCCAAGCAGTACAAACACAAGCGCAGTCATGTACGAAAGGTTGGAGCACCGAGAGTAACTGAGTCTAGGATAGTATAGTGAAAAGAGGTCCGTCAGGAGACAAGGAAATCAGATTCACCTGGGTGGGTTTGGCGTCACCTTTGATCTTGGTGATCACGACGTTACCCTCAGCGGCAAGGTCAATGTTGACGACTTTGGAGTTTGCGAGTCCAGAGTATTTATGAGAGTGAAGGTTGAGGAGGTTTCCCTGAAGTGTCAATAAGGTATTGCTCTTACATCCCACCACCACGATCTGAAATCCGAAAACTGGCATGAAACAACAGGTCCATCATGGACGACTCGAAACCCTCTCCTTGACAAATCTCCACGAAGAACCAAGCAATACTATCTCCTCCCAGATATTTCAGGCTAAACTCTTCACTTACCCAGAAGTATCCTCTGGCTACTATTGACAGCAATCACAAAGGCACACTCTGAACGCATCAAGAAGAGGATGAAACGACGCCGGCACACAGAAGATAGTCAAGGATAACACACCTTCTCTTTGGAAAACGTCTTTCCGTTCTTGGGTTTGACCTGGAAAGAGTTCCATTGTCGGAGAAGGAGCCATTGCAAATCGGTAGACATTTTGAGGTCTTGTTACAGTTGAATTGCCTGACACCTCATCCACCTTCAACCTCGTCCTCACTTCCCACCCGGTGGTCTACCGTGGGAAACTGTGCTCATACTTGTCGGAGATAAGCTTAACGCTTGTAAACGCCGAACAAGCCGGGCCTCTACGAGGTATGCCTGACAATGAGAGAAGAGTCAAGTCGGTGTCAGGCTCACCACGCGCCCTCCACGACAGTCCCCAAAGTGGGTTTCAACCTTATTCCTCCTCATACTACCTTCCCAGGTTTCTAAGCTCTCTCACACCCACACAGGGGCAGGTGAACAATTCTTCAGGCCAGTTGAAAAGAATCCTTGGCTTATGAGGTGAATTGAGATCTGTCAAGATGGTGAGTTGCTTCTTCCCCTTCCGCTTGCCTGCTCTGGTCACTACGGCTTTCCTACATTCCTCGTGCCTATTCCCTACCGACCTCTTCTATCTTCTTCCAGAGACCCACCCGCGTGAGTCATGGAAGACTTGTATTACTCTTAGTCCTAAGGGTATGCGGTACGGGGTACATCATAACATCCATCATGCCACATGCGGCTCCTGGCAACGGGCAAAGTGTGAAAGCTCGCAGCGGGACATCAAACGAGTGCTGAGCTAACTCTCAGCCCATGTTACTAGATATCAACGTGAGATTTTCTAGCTAGTCCATACGAATAAGCTGATGGAAATATAGAGAAAATTACTAGCTAGATCAGATAGAGTCAAATCGGTCGATTTTCATCCTACTGAACCTCATGTTATTTGCGGCCTATAGTGAGTGTACTTCTTTACACATCCAAGCTCCTCTCTGCTGGTATTCGTTCAGTTTCTGCCTTCAAAACTCCACTTTCTTCTCTCGAAAGAGACGTGCTGATCAGAAGCAACGGTCAGGTAAAAATATGGAACTATGAAACTCAAACGGATCTGAAGACGTTCGAAGTGACCGACGTTCCAGTGAGATGTGTGCGGTACATTGCCAGGAAGAATTGGGTACGTCACGATAGCATATATCACTCTTCCTCATGTTACACATGCCTTCTATCTCAAATTGAAGATGATCTCCTGATGGCTTTCCTCTCTGTATCATCATACCGCATGCTTTAAACAGACCCAGACATTCAATACTGACTCTTAGTTCGTCTCTGGCTCGGATGACTTCCAACTCCGAGTGTACAACATCTCCACGGGCGAGAAAATCACGTCTTTCGAAGCTCATCCAGACTACATAAGATGTCTTACCGTTCACCCTACGCTCAGTCTCGTTCTCACTGGTAGTGATGATATGACTGTGAAATGTTGGGATTGGGATAAGGGATGGAGATGTGTTCAAGTGAGTTGCTCACATGTCCTGTCCCTACGCAGATATATTCCCCTGATACCTATGACGTGATACTGGGGGACAATGAAGCTACTCGAAGACGATAGCTCTCCCCTCATCAGTCAAGGAAGCTGCTCGGCATTCGCATAGCTGACAATCAGATCTTCGAAGGTCACACTCATTATATCATGGCGCTGGCTATCAATCCGAAAGATCCCCAAACCTTCGCTTCAGCTTGTCTGGATCATACTGTCAAGGTATGGTCTTTGGGTAGCCCTGTGCCAAACTTCAGTCTGGAGGCACATGAAAAGGGGGTCAATTACGTGGATTATTATCATGGCGGTGATCGACCGTATCTTGTCACTACGGGTGATGATCGGTGAGTCAGCTGTTACCATCTTCCGCCTGTGACCATGTGATCCGGAATCTGGTCTTTCGACACGTCTCCTATCAGACTGTGACCAGAGAGTACTCAAAGATTTCAATGTCTTGAAGATGATCTGACCTGTAGACTTGTGAAAATATGGGATTACCACGCCAAGTCCTGCGTCCAGGTTCTCGAATCTCACACCGCCAACGTTTCTTTCGCCATCTTCCATCCCTCCTTACCCATTCTCCTGTCCGGCTCTGAAGACGGTACTATCAAAATATGGCATTCCTCCACGTATCGCTTGGAGAACACTCTGAGCTATGGCCTCGAGAGAGCATGGTGCGTTGCCTATCGTAAAACGGGCAATGAGGTGGCTGTGGGTTTCGATGAAGGTGCGGTGGTCATCAAGGTGCGTTCAGATTACTATTTTTCAGTCGTCATCTGACATCTCAGCTTGGTCGAGACGAGCCAGCAGTGTCAATGGACACATCAGGCAAGATTGTATATGCCCGTAACACTGAGATCCTTACAGCAAATGTATCATCTCTTGGCGTTGAAGGTATGTCTTTCCTTTTGGATTGTATCTCGGAATTTGGCTCCTCTCCTCACCTCGAGCTTGAGATCGTGAGAAGTAAGTCAGTTGATCGATAGGTGACGCTATCGAAGACGGTCAACGTATCCATGTCTCCCTGCGTGATCTCGGTACCACTGAAGTCTACCCGCAATCCCTCCAACATTCCCCAAACGGTCGTTTCGTGACTGTATGTGGCGATGGGGAATACATCATTTACACCGCTCTCGCATGGCGCAATAAAGCCTTCGGTCCTGGTACTTCCTTCGCTTGGGCCGGCGACTCAAACACTTATGCCATCCAAGAAGGTAAATCGAAAATCCGAGTGTATCGAGCGTTTAAAGAACGTCCTGGGTTCATCAAATCTTCTGGTACGTGGGCCGTAGAGGGTGTGCATGGAGGCACTTTGCTGGCTGCTAGAGGAAGTGGTTTCGTCATGTTCTGGGATTGGGAAACTGGAGCTGTGGTGCGCAGGGTCGAAGTGGACGCAACGGGAGTAAGCTGGAGTGGTAGTGGAAACTTGGTGGCGATTACAAGTGAGGATACGTTGTATGTTTTGAGATTTGATAGGGATGCGTATTTGGCGGCGGTGGACGGTGGGAAGGTCATTGGGGATGAGGGGGTGGAAGAGGCGGTAGAATTGGTGGCGGAGATTTCGGAGACGTGAGTTCATGTTCCCCGTTGGGCACTTCGTCACATACTTTCGCTATCCCCTCAGAGCTCGTCCATATCTTGCTGCCCTTTGTCGAGCCCTTCTCCACTTTCTCGCAACACCTTCTCGTTGGGAAGCTGTCTTGCGATGCCCCGTGGTACTGCAAACTGGCGTGGAAACACGATGACTGCTCGTTGTCTTTGGGACACCAAAGTACAGCTTCAAAATGAGTATACAAGCTGACAGACCAGGGTCAAGACCTCACGATGGGTCGGAGATTGTTTCATCTACACTAACTCGACCAACAGACTGAGTTATCTCATAGGTGATCAGTCTCATGTCATCAATCACTTCGATCAGTGAGTCCTGCTGCTCCTTCAAACCATACCCATCCTGTATTCATCCCTTTGACTTTCGCGATACATCAATTCGTTGGACGATTGGGCTACTTTTCCTCTTCTGCAAGACATTGTATCCGTTCCTCGCTGGTTTCGCCCCCCTGCCCGCTGTTGATGTTTGTGTCTGTGAGATTAGCGATACAGGAGAGTCTGCGATTGAGAGAAGAAAGGGGAGGCAGCCATTTGTAGAGAGGAGAAGTGAAAGGGTTTGCTGATACGCAGACCCGTTTACCTCTTGGGCTACCTGCCAACTCAAAATCGGATCTACGTAGCGGACAAAGACATGAACGTCTATTCTTATTCACTTTCCTTGACGGTGGTGGAGTATCAGACTGCTATATTGCGAGGGGACATGGAAGGGGCAGAATCTCTCTTGCCAAGTATACCACCCGAGCAGAGGAATAGAATAGCAAGGTTCTTGGAAGCTCAAGGTGGGTTATGTTCTTCACTCGCCCACTTCCTCTATCGGTCCACCTCTGCGACTGCGTCTACCACTCGTTGATGGGTTGTGCGGTCACTGGAGAGTCCTAGTATGGGCGATTGTCTTCCACACTGAAATCACACAAAATAGTTGTCCCGCCCGTGGCTTTGGCTATATATAATTGCATTGCCTAGATGTGGCGGCATTGCTATACTTCAACTCTTTTGCCTGGGGCATCAGGTCGTATCTCTGGCAGACGTAGATGAAATATAACGGCGGGCCACGCTCATCCGACCACCAGCTGACTTTCAGATCTTAAAGAACTCGCTCTCAGTGTCTCTACCGATCCCGATCATCGATTCGACCTTTCCATCTCGCTCAACGATCTCGACACTGCTCTATCACTCGTCCGTGCTGCTCCAGAAATCGGTTCTCAGGCTAAATGGAAAGTCGTCGGTGACAAAGCTCTCCAAGCTTGGCAGATGGACCTAGCTCAAGAAGCCTACGAGAAAGCCTCTGATCTTCCCTCTCTCCTCCTTCTTTTCTCCTCTCTCTCTGATAGAGAAGGAATGGAACGTCTTGCCAAACTAGCGAAAACAAAAGGTCAAAATAATATCGCTTTTGCCGCTTATTTGCAATTGGGTGATGCGGCAAGTTGTGTCTCCATTCTCACTTCCACCGGCAGATTATCAGAAGCTGCATTGTTAGCGAGAAGTTATCAACCTGTTCTCATGGGTGGTGTAGTGAAAGAATGGAAATCTCAATTGGAGGAAGAAGGAAGGACGAAATTAGCTGCTACTTTGGCAGATCCGGAAGAAGATGTGACGTTGTTTGAGGGGTTGGGGTTGGGTGGGGGAAAGAGTGATGGAGAGGGTAGTGGAGTTATGGTTGATAAACCTACGGAAGATGAGATGGAGGTGGAAGGTGAGGGGGAAGTGAAGGAAGAAGGGGTGGTGGAGAAGGTAGGTAATACGATAGAGGGTTTAGTGGAGAAGGTACAGGATTTGACTGTGGGAAATGGGGATGGTGAGTGGTTGTTTTTCATTCACTGGAAAAACTACACACGATTTCTTCCGTGTCTTTTTTTTCAGACTCCGACCCAACCTCTCACATACACACTCACACATATACTCTCTCTCTCTCTGCCTCTCTCTCTCTACCTCTCTCTCTACCTCTCTCTCTCTACCTCTCTCTCTCTACCTCTCTCTCTCTACCTCTCTCTCTCTATATATACCCCTCACCCTCCCTCCGATCTCGCTATCTATGAGACCAGCCTCATAAAATGGTACAGTCCTCCTTTGGATGATTCAAACAGGAATCTATCGACCCTCCGAACTCTCTGTCGTATCGATACCGACCATAGTTGCTTTTCCTCTATTAAGTACATGGAGTCGAGGCTGATATTCAGAACCGACCTCCCCAAATGAAACCACCGAACCGGCGCCCGAAATAGAGGCAGAGGTTGAAGCGGCAGCGGAAAATGGTACAGAGGTCGAAAAAGAAGTCCCATCTTCTAAACCACAAGGAAAGAAGAAAGGTGGAAAGAAGAAGTAGGGAATCAATTATCCCTTTACATTCGTTTATACTTCTTGACATTCACCTTTTCTACCCTTTCTGATAGTCTTTTACATCCTTTACATGTCTTTATAGCCCTCTATACGACCCTTGGCATCTCTCTTTTTACAATTCCGTATCTCATAAGAGAATCGGACGTTAAGAGACAATGCGACTTAC